TCTCTCTCTCTCTCTCTCTCTCTCTCTCGCTCTCTCTCTCTCTCTCTCTCTCTCTCTCTCTCTCGCTCTCTCTCTCTCTCTCTCTCTCTCTCTAACTCTCGCTCTCTCTCTTGCAGTCGTGCGTGGAGAGCCACCTGGCGACGGAATTCGCCTCGCAGCATCTCGCGACCTGCGTCGCCGAGCTCGTGTCAGAGGTCGCGACCCGGGTCGACGGGGTAGCATCAGAGGTCGCGACCCGGGTCGACGGGGTCGCATCAGAGGTCGCGACCCGGGTCGGCGGGGTCGCATCAGAGGTCGCGACCCAGGTCGACGGGGTCGCATCAGAGGTCGCGACCCCTGTGTGCGACCTTCCGGCCGACCTCGCGGTGGAGTGGCGAGAGTTCTTCGCTGAGGGAGTGTTCACCTTGCTGCTGCCGGCATTCCTCAATCTTGCAGGTACGTGTGTGTGTGTGTGTGTGTGTGTGTGCGTTAGTGATGTCATGATCATCGATTGAACAGTGGCTCGAACCAAGCGCTTGGTTATCAAAATCCATAATCGATTTCATCAAAAAAGAAAAGAAAAAAAAATAATCGAAATAAATGTAAAACGAACAAGAAAACTTGGAAAATTGATGAGAATCAGAGATATCATCGCTACTATACAAGTTATCCTTTATTAACATGTATTATACACACAGTAGTAAACAGTGCAAAACAAACAGTAAACAGGGCTAAACAAGCACATACATGCACACACGTACATGCACACGACGTTACGCACACGCAGGCCTTCAACACCCCGAGTAACCGATTGTAACCGATCATCAGTTACTTGGGTCCAACCGATGATCGATTACGAAATTACAACCGATTGACAACACTAGTGTGCGTGCGTGCGTGCGTGTGTTTGCGTGTGCGTGCGTGCATGTGTGTGTGCGTGTGCGTGCGTGCGTGTGTGTTGAAACTAACCCAATAATATAATAAAAAATAATAATCGCTTTAACGTTTCCGTTTGTGCAGAGTCGTCGTCAGGTGGCGCCAGCGTCGTTGTCGCCCTCACGCTGCAGGCGATGTCGCGCGCAGCCGCGGCGACACCTGGTGAGCTCGTGCTGCGACACGCACTGCCGCCACGTCTACTCGCCGACGATGACAGCGGTCTCCATGACGACATGCAGACGCTGCTCAACCACTGCTGCCCCCTGCTGGCGTCGCCGCACACGTGCGTGCAGCGCGCCGCGTTCCGCCTGCTGTCAGCGTGAGTAGCTGTTCACGTTCTCTTGTTTTTTTTGTTTTTTTTGCATTTATGTTTCATTTTCATTCA